AAAGTTTTAATTACAATAGTAAAAGATAATACAAACTAAAAAAGAAAAGAAAAAAATAGAATAAAAGGTGCAAGAAAACAAAAAAGAGAAAAGAGAAAGAGGAAAAGCAAAAGGAAAAGGAAAAAAGAAAAAAAAACCTAAAAAATTGACTTCCCACCCTCATCACAAGTATAAACAATTTCACTATCTCTTCACTTCCTCTTAATTAACAGATATAAAACTCTTCATCCCATAACTCAACTCTTAACTATAGACAAATCCAGTAAGTAACATCTTCTCCAATCCACATGTTAGCAAAAAGTCGAAACAGAGCCCTAAAATAATAACATTAATTAACAAATGTAAAACTCATCATTCCATATCTCAACTGTAAGCAAATCCACATTTAGAAGGCATAAAGTGGTCCCAGTATCCTAGTATGAACAAAAGAAAATTTAATGTGACAAAGAGGGACAATTTCTCCATTAAAGAGAACAAAGTCACAAAGATCCCTTACTTTAAGTGAAAGGACATTTAGATGCAAAGCCAATTTAAATGCTGTCAGATTAGGATACATAAAATGATTGTGGGGAAAAAGGCTTAAACACCATGTTAACTATAAGCAAATCCAATAACACAAAATTTTTCCAGTCCAGATGTCAGCAAGTCCAAAAAGAACCACCCAGAATAACAGCATGTCCCATTTTAACTCTGATCAAATAAGCCAACTTTGTGTTCCTTCCTTTTGTGTAAAACAGTCTTGCTCTTTAATCCATTCAGATGATTATTGATCCTTGACTTGATTTTCTTCAAAACTTTAAGAAGCCTCTTTTGTAAGTCCAGCAAGAAGAAATTATTCCAATTGCTGTCTGGGATTGGCATTTTTATTTCCTTCTTAATTTTTAAAGCCTCATCTGATTTTTTTTGTAAGTCTAATGACAAATTCTTGTTCACGCTGTAATCAGATAAATTTTGTTGCAGATCTTTTTCTGTAACAACAACTTCTGGGAACAAACTGTTCCTAAGAACACACAACACAGCTGACATTATTTATTCAAAGTCCTGATGCAATTCCTGAAAAATGTCTCTGAACACCATTATAAGTTGCTTATCTTATGTCTTCAATATCAAAAATAATTTTTCTTTCCCATGAAAATGCATTTATTCTTTAAAATTAAAGAATAAAGAATAAATATTCTTTTTCAATATTTTCAAAATCAAATATTCCAACATTTTCTGAGCCCTTAGTCCATTTAAAACTTTCTATAGCCAAAACCTTATCTTGCTTTTTGCTGTTTATTTTATACTCTTAAAGCTTATAGAGTTTCATTTTCTTATATTAAGGATTGAATGCACTCAGACAGTGCTTCCAGCCTTGTCATTTTGAAGACGTCTAACTTCTTTAAAGCAATTAATTGGCAATTTCCAAAAGCGATTAGCAAAGGAAGTACGAACTTAATGTCCTTTGAAAGGCTCCAACTGTGGCTGGAGCAAGTATGGCAAATACCCTCGGTTCCCGGTTCTCCCATCTTCTGGAGACTGCTGCCTTGCAGTTTCCTCATGAGGAGCAACCATATGGAGCACAGCTTGGGCAATCTCATGTCCTCTCTTTGTACAGAGAGGGTTGAAGGAGTTGATCTACTCACTGACCCCTTGTTTTTAGCTGCAATCATTGGCTCTGCTTTACGTGGAGCAGTCTTCAGTCTGCCGTTCTTTCCTGGAAGTCCAAGTCTCCTTCATCCTTTTCCAAGTGACTATGACAGATCCTGGCCTATATCAGTGGTTGCTTTTGAATTTTCTTAAGGTTCATAGAAACATTAGAGATTGCTTGCTGGTTCCTTAACCCTATATGTTTTAAGTCCCTAGCACTCAAGACATTAGATTAGCTATTAAATCCCTCTTTATCTACTCCTTTTAAAAATGTATTTTAAGATTCTCCCAAATTGAAGCACAGACTAATTCAAGACTGAAGGGGATCAGAAGAAGTGTTTAGTGCTAGAGGAAGAAATCAGAACAATTTTTTTAAAAAAGCTGCCTTGTTCCCTATATGTGTTAACTAATTTCCATTAATTGCACTATTTTAATAGATATTTTTCTCCACCAGTAAATATTTCTAGTTTTCACTACCACAGAAGTATTTTCCCCAAATTATACCTCTCAATTTTTGTGATGCCTTCACCACTGACATCCATGTAGCATATATGCTTCCACAAGGAATCTAGCATCAGCAATCAGAACAAATTGTACAAATATTTCCTTAAAAACTTTTCCACAGGAAGAGAAAAAGCAGCAAACAGACAGGAACGTACAGGACACACATAAATGGAAATTTGTAGTGAGTTGTGTATAATACTGAAGCCCCAACTGAGCAAATCACATGACAGGTGTGAATCCATTCTCTATATTGTCCTCTTGGGATTGCATGAACGAAGAAGCCAAGTTACTTTTGCACAATAAAAGCTTTGCCCAGAAACATCTAGAGCTTCTCCATTGACAGCTGTATAATGAACAATGGAACTTTTCTTGGCAGGAAGGTGAATTTATATTAATCTTCTGAGAAAAGTATGCTATAGCAGCGATGCTGTACCTTAGTGAAAAGCACATAATCTCTTCTGTCCTAGGCAATGACATCCTGAAGCTCCTGGGGACCCGCAAAGGAGACAAGGAAGCACAGGCCTTTGTGAAGCTACGCAGACAAAGGGCAAAGCATTCCAAGGAGCTGGCATGATGCAGTCAAGCAAAATGGGTTAAAGCACAGGTTGAACCAAGGTGCAGCGGGGGCTCTGCTGCCATGGCAACAGTGGATCATACGGGGGAAGAGTAGGAAGCTGTGAGGCTCTCATTATTGCTCCTCATGGCTTTGATGCAACAAACCAGACGCTGGAAGCTCTTTGTCAGCGCAAATTTAAGTGCTGTGGCAAGTCAAGGTGCTGGTTGTGTTTGAATGAAATCTGATCTATGTTCATCTAAGGGGCAACAGGAAGGAGCCATGTCTCCCCATCCCCACCCAATATTTTCCTTGCCGCAGGAGTTTGAAAAGAACCAAATGCAGACTAAGGCGGTCCCAAGCGGATCTGCGCCCATCAGTATGTGAGCGATGTACTTCTGCTGGAAAGAGCCAGGCTGCTTGAGTCGTGAAGCTTGGGATGAGCCTCTCGTGGAACTTCTGCAGGAAATCCTTGCTCTGTGCTCCAGATGGCATGGGAAAGGGGCTCCCAAAGGAACGAAAATAAACATTTGGGAGGAGAAAAAAATGGATGTGTTATCTATCACTGTCTTCTGCTACAGAGTCTGGGACTAACTTCTGCTTAAGCACCATTGATTTAAAAAGCAGTTAAACTGAGAAACTGCTGGTAACAGCTCCCAGACCTCTTTATATCCAGGGCACAGTTTTCATAATTGCAGCACAGTGAGGGCTGAAAAATAAATAGGAGAACCCTTGTGGTTGAAAGCAATGGATGTATTAATAATTATTGTACAATCCTTTCCTCTACCAACACTACTGTTCTTGTTATAGCTCTAAGCTGTAGTTGTCTCCTAGGGTATCACTGAGGCCTGAAATGACACGCATTACAAAAGCAGAAGTTGGGTGGGTGGGAACAACAAAATGTCTTTGCTTCTGCAGCATGAAGGAAAAGTCATGCTGCTGTGAACTGGAGCCTCAGGTAAATAAATCCAGGAGCATGAAAGAAGACAAGCAACACAGTATTTCATGAAGAGTCGGCATATATTTCAAAGTTCGTCATTTCCCCCCCCTGCCATGACCTGTGTTGCCATGACAACAATATTGCAGCTTTGCGTGCTGTTCCTTCTGAGAGAGCCCATTTTCGGTGCCCCAGTGCCCAAAGTTAAACAAGGTTTCCATAAAAGAAGAAAAATACTAAGCGGACTAAGGTTCTCAACGGGTTTCTCTTTCCCATCAGAAAGAGCAAGACAAATGATTAAATAAAACTAAGACATGCTTTTTCACCACGTGAGAAAGGAATCTAGTCCTCGGGATTAGGGAAGAAGCTGGAAGGGGGGAGCTCAAAGCCTCATGATGGCTGCTTTGAATATGTTAAAGCCGTCATACTTCAAAGATGTTTCCACAGGATTAGAAGACAGCCTTGCATATGTGTAGCCCTAGGTCTGGATCCCCTAACTTATCCTCTCCACAAGGGTGTAGACATGGCTACTCAATCCTGAAGCGCATTTAAGGGTATTTAAACATTCCTAACCATAATTAAAGCACGTTTTTCACTAATAAGATCCAGGCGTATTAAAATGTATTGCTCTAAACCACTTATCAGTGAAGTCACAGAAAGGACTGGAGGCAGATTTGAAAGACCTGCTGCCTAAATCACTATGGATGCAACCAGAGCAGATGTTACTACTTTTCTGGGAATAGGCATAGCCTAGCAGTTTTCTCCTGATTCTGAGGCAAGCAGAAGTACGAGAGCACCGCTGGGCCTCAGGCTTCGTACCACTTATTAGTCAACTTCTTGCTTACTAAATCTGCTCTTGATAAATAAATCTGTTTTCAAGCTAAGGTCACTGCTGCATATTGCCGATGTGACTTCCATAACTCATATGCTGTGTGAAATGCTTATCTTTAGGTGGTCACTATCCCAAGTTTACTTTTTGTAAATATAACTTCTTCCTGTTATAGTACTTAATATTTTTCTACCATAAGTAAGACAGTGATCATATAGACAGTATTTCTGCATCTTTGCCAAATCTGTGACATCCTTACTTAAAAGTCCAGATAATACAGCATGAACAGCTCCAAAACAAAAGTGTTGTTATACTAGGAATTTTATTTTTCATTTCTTTTTAAAATAATATCCACTAGGTTGCAGGCCAGTGCATGACTATCTTTGATGTGCCTTTCACTGCTGCAGATCTGTTTTCAAGCTACTTACCACTACTTACGATGTAAGTATATATGAAAAGTAAGGATTCAACTTATACTTAATTTGATTTCATTTCAATTCACCTGTCATTTACCTGGTGTAGAGAAATCCGTTTCAGGCTTCTTGGATTTTCACCACCATTCTGAATAATTTGGTGTCTTCTAAATAATTTAAGAATAAATTAAGTAGCACTGCACTCATTAGGTTGTCAGTCAAATATAGAACTTAACTGACTCTGGAAATGCTATCAATATGTGTAACTATTGTGTCATCTTTAATCAATTACCAATTCCTGAGAAAGACATCCGTCTGCTCCATGAATGCTTGGTTTATATAGAAGCTTTTACAGGGAAAGACTTTGTCAAAAATATTCTGAAAAGCCAATTATTTGATGTCTATATGGGGAAAAAAATTCTGATGAACAAAAACTTTTCTCAGTAGAAGAAATGATGCTACATAGTATGACTCCATCTATATATTGACCTGCTATGGTTTTAATTATTAATCCTATCTGACTTTCAGGCTATCAGTCTTATCATTTGTTCTCTCTGCAGCAATTCCTTTTAAAAATTAATTCTACAATCACCCAGTGCAGGTGATTTTAGAAAAAACTATTTTTGTCAGAGCATCAGCAATTTCATCGTACAGAGATTTGGAAAGGGAGAGCATGGGAGAGATGGAAAACTTCCTTCTCCTCCATCCCCGCTCCCCAAAGACTCTGCCAGAGTTTTGGGAGGACATGGAATAAGAACTCTGTTCCTTTAAGAGTTTGGATATCCCATTCTCACATCCATCTTGAACCAATTATTTTCCTTTTTTTTTAACCTCAGGTTAGATTTCTTTTCCCCAATCATGTAACCTCCAGACATGTTAGGATTACAATTTCCAGAAACACCTGGCAGCACAATCATGCTCCCGATCATTTGTAATGGCACTAAAAAAGGGTTCGGGACCAAAAAGATTGATGTCCAGCTACTTAAGAAATGGACCTTCAATACTGTCCTGCTTCTTTCACCCTGAGAATTTAAGAATTGCAACTGCTCAATAGGATATAAGCATAGCTGTGGTGCTCTGGCCTGCTGTAGTCCTAGCTTTGAGAATGTGAATCCATTACAGAAACAACTCAGTAATTTCATACTAATTTTATAGTGTCTTGTATTTTTGCTTATTCCCATTTTAATATGACTATCCATCTTATATTTATAATCTCCCCAAACCCTATTCCATAAACTATATTTACTAACACAGTGAATGTCCCATCATCCAAACAATCAGCCACCAGCTATTTTTAGCCATGTATGCAATGGGACCTTATTCATCCAAATATGAACAACTTAAGTTACATCATGACACCACAGAAGACAAACTTGAATCATTACGGACAAAAGTAAAAGACAATCTGGACAAGTGCAAATACAAATATCATTAGGAAAAGAGTATAGCTCAGTGCAGAGTAAATTACTGTATTGCATCTAACATCAGACTCTCAAGTTAATCATGTTTGATTTATCCTGCTGATATCAGTAAATCTCAGTATGATTAAATTTGATTGTTAAATTTCCATGATGGAACCTTCAGTTTTAAATCCAGATTTTAAAATTACTTAAGTAGGGATTGTCCAGTTCGTATGGAGAGACAGATATTGCAGTACAGTAATCTGATTATTAAACAGCCCTGTCTTTGTTTTTCTTTCTCAAAAGTGATGGGAGGATGGATGAGATACCAATTTGAAACAAAGGAATGTGAAAAACTCCTGGCCAATGCTGTTAGAAAGGGCAGATTTCTTCTCTTTACAGTTGGGTGCTCAAAAGCTGTCTGAGTAAACTTCCACAGAGCTGCTCACTATTCCCTCCTGAGACCTTCAGACTCAGTCTTCAACAGCCTGCAATTGTCTCGCTTTCAGCCATTACAAAGATTCACTAGAGTCAACTAGCGCTCCCTCTAGCTGGATCATGGGAGTGCCAAAATGGCTGGCCCTATCCATACTTCTTGTTTTCATGGCAGGGCAAAAAAGAAAAAGTAAAGCCAACAATGTTGCTGTCCGACCACCTTCAACCAAGACCTGTGTGAGAGCACCAGGCTGCTAGGGTGGAGCTCAAGGAGTTGGCAATTAGTGGAGTTTCCACCAAGAGAAAACCAGCCCGCTCCCAAACCCAAAGAAGCTCCAATGTCTCAAACAGCAAAGCAAAGGTGTTGTGATTTGAGATTTTAGGCAGTTGAGTGAAAGAAAATCAGCTTGGCTACTTAGTAGAGATACTACTGCCCTTCAGGAGCAGTACCAAAGTTCTCTATGGCAGTGTGAGGAAAACCAAAGAAGTACTCACTCAAGAGCACCAAGGAGGAGGACTTTCTTAGATCTAGAACTCTTTCCCCTGAGGAATGGGAATGTTACCATTTTTTAAAAAAAATAATTTAGGGTTTGAGAATAAGCCCAAGTCTCTTTTAATTTTGTCTTTATACCATAAACAGATTTTTAAAAAACATCCTGAAATCCTGTCCTGTAATTCATTCCCCATTCTGTATTATACAGAATGGGGAATGAATTATGGAATATAATATTAACTCATTTTGCTGTATTTGTCTTCAAAATTCTCTAAAGTAATATTATGGTTTCCATAGTATCAAAAAGTAAAAGAAAGGTGATATGTGGGCTTCCTGGCATACAACCCACAAAGTACCTCTTCTGGCACAAGCTCTGTGAGGAAAAAAAAAGGATTTTTTTTTTTTGGCCATCATGTGAACACATACTATACTTTTACTTCCATGAGGCTTGAATAGAAAATATTGTTATACTGTGATGTGTTATATATCTATAATATGCAGGGAATTCCTCATTACTTCCCTACCTTCCAAGCATAAAGTAAATATTCTCTTAAAGTCCAAGGGACACCACATGTACATTCTCATACAGACAGACATATGCACAAACAAAATGGCTACCTTTTTTTCTTAGCAAAAAAATAAAAAAATTTATTGTCTTCTAGAAAATCCATCCTGCCTTTGGAAATTGTGACATAAGATTGCATTTTGTTTTAGCTCCACATGCAAATTCACTTTGCCAAGAAAGAGTGTCTAAAATTAGGTTTCTGGACAGCCAAACACACATATATACAGAATACGAGAAAGAACAATAGCTGAAATCACAGTTCTGCATTACAGTCTATAATAATGTAATCAAACACCACATTGTACACACCATCTATTATTATCTTTTGGCTGACTTCTACACAGACTGGAATGGCTCTCCCCCCACCAGCCACCTCCCCTGCCAAGGAAAATCCAAGGAAAGAGACTGGTCAAGAAGCGCCACCATAAATACTGCAGTGTGTAGTTTTAAAAAATTTATATTGTATTATTTATGTTCTTTTGTTTAAAACATTGGAAGCTACAAAGTGGGGAAGCCCCATAGAGATTTTTGATCCATAGTCACCAGATTTGAGGAACACTTCACTTATAATACTTCTCACCAGAAACATCTATGTTCTCATTGCATTACTCCAAAGGCTGATATATTGGGGGGGAGGGGGGAGGATTAAAAATAATAATGAAGAGACTCCCACACACACACACTGGTCATAAAAGGAAGAAATGTATTTCCTGCATTTAGGAAATAGTTGCAAGGCTTCTATGTGGAGTCTCTGTTCTGCTCTGCCTATAAGACTGAACTGTGGTTTAGTAAGACAAGTTGACTCACCATTAGTTTTGGGCTTGTGCATTTCTCTTCAAAAGTTCTACTTTCAATTTTGACTAATTACATTTTAATATTATGTCTGAACACTAATCTGCAGTTAACCATAGTGAAAAAATAAACTAGTTTCTCAAGCTATGTTTTAATGGTGGTTTGTTTCAATTAACCACAATTAACACTAAATGCAGTTGTAGAAGTTCAAACGGCACAGCAAGCTGTGATTGTTTCAAATGGATATAAATGAATTCAACCTCCTTTTCATAGTTACACTGGAGGAGGAGGAGGAGGAGGAAGAGGAGAGAGTAGGCACCTCCTGGGCTTATTAAACCAGGGATGGATTGCAGTATTGAACATAGGCAAGGGGCCACCATCTCCTCTACTGGAGCCCTAAAGATGGGGAGCAATGCTTGACTAAAATGTGCAATCCCTCACCTTCACAAAGCCATTCATCTTAAAAGGAAGGAACATATGTGGGAACTTAGAGGCTTCCCTATTAATCAGTAATCCTATATACTCTTATCGCAGGTTTACTGACATCTCTGAATAATACGGATTTTGCAAATACAATACTGTATCCATTTCCCTCATATTCAGAGCAAGAAGAAAGCATCCAGTTTGGATTAGTGAATTGTATTAGTAGCCGGGCCTCCAAATCCCTAAAACCTTTGGAGAGTGGAAATGCATTACATTTTTCTAGTAAGGACTTTGTTCAAAAACCAGAGTTGGGAGACGACAGGCTTTATGCCCAAGTGTGTGTGGAATTCCGTAATCCAAACACAATTCCTTGGGCATTTCATTAGGGATGATTTACTCAGGAACCCAATTTTTGACAGGCAGAAGCTACAGAATCTGTTGGTTTAAAAGAGAAGAACTGAGCAGATCCTGTAACAAGTCAGCAACTGCTGGCAGGATACAGCAGAATTGCTCTCAATCATCCCAGTCAACAAAACTGCCTATACAGAAATTTAATACAGAATTAATTCTTTAAAAAAACAGAGAAGCCATTTTTGCTTTTCCACTTGATAATTAATAAAGCATTCACATTTCAGGTATTTCATTTTCAATATTAAAATTCATAGAAATCTAGCATTTTTTTTTTTAAAAAGTGCTTTTTAAAAGAGTGGGATAGAGATACTTGTCTTTCTGATTCCCAGGTTTAGATAAAACCAATCTACTGTTATATTCTCTTGCCCATATATAATACTGATATCAATGAGGCAGGGGATAGGGACATAATTGGATAAGGGGCTGTTAGTTATTTATAAGAGTGGGGGAATTTTTAATTCTCTTGTATTCTTTGGTCCTTCAAAATAAGACAGACAGACTAGGTTGTGGCATGTATGTAAATAGCCTTGGCTTCACACACAATTTCTTTTTCACATCCCACCAGCAATTTGCCAATGGATGTTGGGGATAGCAATTGGATAATTAACAATATTGTACAGAGTTGCCACTTCTTGGAAACAGATTTTAAAAAAGAAAAAATCTAAATCTAAGTGACACCAAGGATATTGGTGACACGCCTCCTGAAGAATTCTGTTGAATTTAACAAAGCTACGGGAACTCAGGATAAACCAGATCATCCCACAAAGTCAACAATTCACTATGGACAATCACATAGAAAGGCAGAGGAAGCAATAAAACACAATGTTTACAAAAGTAAGTATTACAAATCAGTCACCACCAGAGCACTTGCAAATGGCTGCAGTTCTGTATAAACACTATAGACCCGATTCAAAGATTTTATTTCCTATTATTTTTAAATTAGTTACCAAAATAGTTTAGTACATTTCCAGCAGAGTATTATTCCCCATAATTTAAATGTATGTGTATCTGTATGTATTTTTTTTTAAAAATGTTCACATATTTTAAACAAACAAGCTTTCCTTAAGACTGAAGCATGTTTCCTGACCATGGAGACCAGGAATGCCTCATGGCACAGACATTCAAAGGCTATAACCAAAAACAACACAGCTACAAGAGTCAGCCAGCAGTGTCTCTCCATACATAAAAAAGCCAATTAAGTGTTTTTTTTAAAAAAATGAAGAAAACAACAGATACTAGTACAACATACACATTGAAAAAAGCAATTTTATCAAACATAAAAGTTAATTAAAAAAAAAAAACTAACCAGAGCTGCACTTTGAGATTATCTGGGAATGCATATTAACCCCCCCAAATATAGAAGGGTGGAATTATGGAAGCAAATCTAATGATGTACTTGAATTACATATGGAAAAACTATCTTGATGGTGAATAGCTGGATCCCTCTTATGAAGACAGAGTTTCCAGTGCTTTTTCAGGTTAGGGAAAAGTGGGTCAACTACTGCAAACAAAGCAAAGACTGGTGAGCAAGGGAGTGAGATTATAATTCTAAATATTACACTTTTACATATTAAACAACTCCCAGTGCAAAATGGCAGATTAGAGTCCTTCTAGACTGGACTGTTTCTTCTCATTGGCTGGAGGCTGTTGCGTTGTTTGAATAAGAACAAACTGCAGTGAGAGCTCTATCACTCAGGGACAGTAGGACAACACGTTCACTGGATACAAGTTTTAAAACAGAAATATTCCAAACCATAAATTTCAGTGAAAGTCAGTTGGATTCAGGCCCCAATATCAGTTTGTAGAACTTAACACACATAATCGAACTATCACACATAATCAGTGAGTTAACACTCCTTTGTAAAACACTCTGGGGAGAGTGCAAATGAATTCTCAAAGGACGTGATTCACTGAAGCTGCAATCTGAGGCACATTTACTAGGAAGCAAGTTCCAGTGAGTTCAGTAGGGCTAAATTCTGTGTAAACATGTTTAGGATTAGTCTACATGTTTCTTTTTAAACTGATTTTAATAAGATCTGCTTAGAGCTTGGACATTTAACTCATGCTGGCCTACAAAAGCATGAGAAATAAATGGTTACTCCTGCTAAACCAGCTGTTGCCTGGAACTCAAGTTACTCAAGACAGCTACTAGTTACTGTCCATCTGTTTTAACAACGAGCCAAACTTATGTACTCCTCTTAACTGGATGCACTGCATCCAGAAAGCGGATAATAAGAGTGGTCATTTCAGTCCATGACAAAAGGTTGCCAATATTGTCTGGTATATGTAGTTGTCTAGTAAGTCCATGCCAAGGAACGTGCTTATAGATTCAGACATTATAGTCATTTGGGGATGATATACACCATCTTCATTGAAGTTGTCTGCTGGCAGGTACCCAGCCAAAAAGGGAATTTGCACCAACATTAAGTTAACCAGGGGAGTTAATGGTGATGCTAAACTAAGGGAATAGGTAGGAGATATCTTGTGAAGAAAAGCAGAGCAGTAGGAAGGACATGTCTGCAGGAAAACGTTTCCCATTGGTGGTATAAATGCCAAAGTAGAAGTGCAGGAGAATAAAGACCCCTCTCTTCTCCAGAATCATTCTTTGGATTCTCCAAACACAATGCATCCTATACATGCTCAAAAAATATTCCCATCTCCAAGAGAATGGTCACAAGAAGGTGACTTGTGAAGCATGGGATTAACATAATTGATCCCTAATGCAGATGCTCAAGGAAAGCTTAGAAAGTTCAAGGAAATGAGAAAATTTCCTAATAATAAGGAAAAGGAATGTATTTTGGAAGTGAAGCAATGTGGATTCTGAGCACAACGTTCCCTTATCTCTCTCTTACGTGTGGTGAAATGTGGCCTACATGTGGTATTCATGATAAATCTATCACAAGAATGTAAAGTGGATTAAGAGCTTTAATTCCTAAACAGCTAACTAATCTCAAGAGAGGATATTGTGGCATCTTAGATACTTTATCAATTTCATCCTGCACTGTTGTATTCACCCACACCTACGTCTAGCTATTCATGTTCATTGTTAAACATTTTGGGAACCTGCATTCTGCTTCCAAAACATACAACTTCTAAATTTTTGCAAAACTGTCTTTTTTCTGTAATTTTTTCCACCACAATCTCTGTATTTTTGCAGAAATTACTAGCTTAGGGAATCCACATTTCATTCAGTTTGCAACTCTAACAGAAGTCCTCAGCTATGCTATGTAAACCTTATCAAATGCTATCTTGTATTAAATGTGGATAAAGATGGGAAAAGAAAGCACTTTATCTTACTGACAGATAAAAATAGGACTTAGTTACTGGCAAGTAACTATCTTCTCTATGACATTCTATCCATGTTTGTGTTGGTGACAACTTATTCTAAGTTAACAATATGAAATGTTGCACAGTTCAGATAAGATGATTTTGTGCTACAGGTCTGGATCTTCCCCATTTCTGAATGCACAAAGGGCCATCCTTCTCTGAACTATAGAATAGAGATCGCTTTTAACTACAACACTTGTAACAGCACCATTCATAGAAATATAAGAATGAAAAAGGAGATGTGTTGTTTTGCTTCTTCCTACTGGCAAATACCAAGCATTAGTTAAATACTAAACAAGTTTGATAACTGAGCCAAGCACAGCTCACTATGTATTGCATTCTGTAGTCTGATTTTTTTTTAACCAGAACACTCCATTTCTGCAGGCAGGCAGAAAACCAGGAAATTTAATGGATTGCAATTGGTCTGGTGAGTTACAGACTTCTCTCAGACAGACCAAAAAGTTTAAAAGACTCCAAGTGGCTCCATTATCAAAGCCTGATTCTGAAGCCCTTCTCTACTTCCATGATAATGCAGACCACAAATTTGAACTTTTCTCTTTACAAGGTCCCACTCAAAAGTGCTACTGAAGCTTCTGAAATTCTCACTGCAGAGTAATGCTGATGAAAAAATATCTCAGCGTTGGCCTCACCTCAACAGTGTATTTTCTATTTTTATTCCTTGGGTTGCTTTCACAGAATTAAAGAAGTATGTAAAATGACTTTCCAAAACGGAACTTTTGGTTTTCCAAGAGACGAGTCAAGAAACTTTCACAATACTGGAGGCCACAAGAATGCTGAATAATTGAGGCTCTGAAGCAGGGACTACTGACAGGCACGGGTATGATTATTATGGCCGCACAAAGCCTGTGAAAGAAGTGCTTCAGAAGGCACACAGCATGAAGAAAGCACCTCTCTTCCAATTGTTAAAGCAAACTAATCCTTTGCAAGTTTTACACAGCAGCTTTGAAAGCTATTCCTGGAGTGAGCATTGCAAAAGATACAGCTCCTTTAGCAGTTCAAAGAGAGATGCCCTTTTTGTGCATTGCAAAAAACCTGCTTCAAAGGCTTTGCGCAGCTGCAATGGTTGTGATACAAATAAAAATACTAAATACTATAGGATGAAAGAAGGAAATAAAGACATGAATAGAAAATTGATTTCTATCTTTTCTCTCCCCAAAAGCCCAATCCTTAGCCTGGAAATCACTTGCAAACTCTCTTCATCCTCCCCTCTAAATCTCTCTCCAGAAAAGGCTAAAAAAAGGTTATTTCCTAAATAAAAAAGGGAGGGAGGAGAAACAGATTTTGCAAATGGCCCCTTGATCTATATTAAAAAACAGCTCTAAAAGTCCCTAATGAGTTAGAATTAATGGGGACTGTGTGGGTGGGGAGCAGGGATCCTTTAAATGGGAGATGCAAAGTATTAAAAAAGT